GCGTCGGCAAGAGCCATCGCAAGACACGGACGGCAGCATGTCTGGCAGACGTCTCCGGTGGGCAGCTTCGAGACAAAGTGGGTAGGTAGTCGGCAAGCTGTCGGGGGGCGGCTACCACTAGGGTGGTATGGCGGATGGACAGGGAAGGTACAGTGGTCATCCCACCATCCATGCCGCTGCCCTCTGTATCAATAATCACTGTTGCGGGTGGGGGGGGGGCCGGAGTGCCATGCGGGCAGCTGCCACAGCGCGCACAATGACAGTAGTAACGGTGGGCAGGCTTTTTACTAAGACGCCAATAGCACTGCGGTGCTCTGCTTCCCCCCCACTGTCTTCACCTTCTTCATCCCACCATCGCCGCGCACAACTCCCCATCTTCTACCTTCTCACCTCACCTCACATCTTCTCACCATCACCCGGTCCATCTCCAACACCACCTCTCTTCCGCCCTCTCCCTCCTCTCCCTCCGTCACCCATCTCTCGGCGCCCTCTTCACCTGACACGCCTCTCACCCCTCTTCTGTTCGCCTCCTCCTTGTCTCAACAATCACTTGTGAGTAATATCCCATACGTTCAAAAGCCGATCCCATCTCCAAGCATCCAGATAGCCTTACCCTTTGTCCACGATGATCCCCTGGCCTTTTTGTCTACCGACACCGACAAGTGCCCGCTGTCACGGCAGCCTCGGACACCTCCCTTCTTACCCATCTATTTCCCAACGGCCGCAACGGTGGGCGATGGTACCCCCCCTTCTCTCCCTCTCGTCTTGCAGCAACAAGCCAAGCTGCCCGCGCTTCCTGACCCCTACCTTACATCTGCCTTCGCAACACGCATCATTCCTCCCGATCCCAGCTAGAGGATCCCCCAACCCCGCCATTTCAAGTCGCCTACCTTACCTCCCCTTGTCTCGTCTTCCCGCGCCTTGCCTTACCTCACCACCACAATTTCGATGAGGGACTGACAAAAAAACACAGCGCCTCGCAAAATCCACCCCCGCCTCCAACGCCTCCCTTCCACCAGGACGCTCGCGACAAGCCCAAGCAACCAGACAAAGCTTGGAACCTCGAAATTGTACGTGCAGACCCCTCTTTCACGCTTCAGATTCCTCCCTTTGATCCCTTTGGACAAATTCCCCAGCTCCTGCGGATTCCTCGACTGCAGCAGCACGTCTTCAGCGATCTGCAAGCCCGAATTTCCCCTCCCCCACGTGTCGCGTCGCATTTTGCGACGGGCGCGTAGTGTCCACAGCCCCGAGTGATCACTTTGCCTG